GGTAGAACTGCGGTTATTAAGTGGTACATGTAGCTACGGTTTTGTAACAAATTGTGGTTATAAATGCAAGGCTTTAGCTACAGACAACTTAAAAACCGTAGTTATATGCATCTCTTAGCTATGGTTACAATAGCATTATCACTCTTCCATGGGCTTCTTCTTAGCCATGAAATCTGGCTACAATAGCATCATCACTCTTCTATGGTTCCTGTTGCTCCATCTGCTAATCTTGCATGCACTGGAAACCGCAATCCATCTCACAACAATGGTCGTGATTCCAACAATGGGGGACGTGGTTCCAATAATGGTCGTGATCGTGGCTATGGTGGTGGTGGGTGTTGACGAGGACAATCCAACAATGGTGGGATCGTGTGTCAGTTATGCAATCGGCCAGGACATGCTATTCTCACCTGTCGGCGACGGTTTGATATTTCCTATCATGGCGAACAGAGCAATACAACACAGGCCTATCAGGCAACTACACCACCAACGTCTCAGTTTTCTTCCCCATTCGATCCTAATTGGTATCCAGAAGACTCTGGGCAACCAATCATATGACTCCAGATTTCAACAACCTTCAAACAACACAGGAGTACACTAGCAATGAACAAGTGCAAGTCGGAAATGGGTCAGACTTGGCTATAAGTCATATTGGATGGTCCACTCTTACATTTAATAATCAGTCCTTTTCTTTTAATAATCTTCTTCATCTTCCTTCTATTTCAAAAAATTTAGTATCTATGTCTCAATTTACCCGTGATAATAATTTAGTTATTGAGTTTCACCCCTCTCATTTTGTTGTGAAGGATCCTATCATGGGGATGGAGGTTCTTCGCAGACCCAATGTTAACGGGCTCTATCAATTTCCATCTTCTTCAAATGGTACTCCTCATTGTCGTCCTCAAGATCTCAACGCTCGTGCTCGTGTTAGATCTTCCCAGTGGCATGCTCGACTGGGTCATCCAACCCTTCAATTTGTTCACCGAATTCTTTAAGAGGTCTACATGCTAATAATGACTTTGGCCCACTTTGTGATGCTTGTCAATGAGCCAAAGCCCATCAGTTACCATTTTCTTCGCATTTTAAATCCAGCGCACCTCTGGAATTAAATGTCTGATGTTTGGGGGCCTTCCCCTTTTGTTTCAAATAATGGGTACCATTACTATGTTTTGTTTATGGATCACTATACTCGTTTCACTTGGTTTTATCCCATTGCTCACAAAGTAATGTCTTTTCTACCTTTGTTCATTTCAAGCGCCATGTTGAGAATACTTTTTCCACCTCCATCAAACACTTTCATAGTGACTGGGGTGGGGAGTATAGATATCTCTCCATTTATTTAGATGAGTGTGGCATTTCACATAGCTTATCGTGCTCGCATACTCATCGACAAAACGGGGCTGCTTAGCGCAAGCACCGTCATGTTGTGGAGACGGCTCTTGCTCATCTTGGCCATGTCTCTCTTCCCTTTCGTTTTTGGGATGATGTTGTTGCTTGCGCTGCCTATCTTATAAACCGCCTTCCATCTCCTGTCACTAGTGGTTTGTCTCCTTTTGAGAAACTCTTTAATTGTCCACCTGACTATGGCATATTATGCACCTTTGGTTGTGGGTGTTACCCACTTTTAAGGCCCTACAATGCACATAAGTTTGCTTACCGATCTGCTCGCTGTGTTTTTGTTGGCTACAACTCCAAGATGTTCTCTCCATCGGGAAGATAACTATTTCGCGCCATGCCCAATTTGAGGAAAGCATTTTTTCCCTTCAGAGATTCTTCAACATCAACTACAACTCCATCACCTCCCACTAGCACGTTCACTTCAGTCCCTACAGCGTCTTTTGGGTCTTCAGATCGGTGTATTGTCGCTGCACCCAGGCCCACAAGCACACTACCTCATCAGTTAGACTCACCTTACCACAACCTCCAACTACAATGCCTGCTTCTCCAGCTGTAACATCCACCACCAATGGGCCCACCCCTTCAATTACTCCACCCAACACTAATGGGCTCAGCTCTCCAGCTCCTACATCTCCCACTAACAGGGCTTCTCCCATTGAAGTTGATAGCATACACCCCCACGGAAGGTTCTCCCCCTAGAAGATGTGCTTCGACGTTTTCCCGTTGTTGCTCCTCCTACATGGCACCATAGAGCTCGTCATGCTTTGCCTCGTGCTGTTCTTACTACCACTACCCCGGCTGAACCGTTCTCTCATGCCACTGGGTTTGTGGCATGGCCCATTAAGCAATTGGATGTGCATAATGCCTTCTTACTTTGCCTAGTGTTTTTCAAAGCATGGCCTATTAAACAATTGGATGTGTATAATGCCTTCTTGCATGGCATCCTTGACGAAGATATCTATATGACACAATACCCTGGGTTTGTAGATCCTCTTCGGCCCAACTTTGTGTGTAAATTGCACAAAGCCTTATATGGGTTTAAACAGGCCCCACGGGCCTGGCTTTTTTCAGCTATAGTCACACCTTTTGAAGCTGGGTTTTCAGGGTTCTACCTGTGATCCTTCTTTGTTTCTCTACTATTCAGGTGATACTATCATTTATATACGAGAAACAAGCCCTCTGCTGTCTAATCTCTCATTTCAGATCTCTCACCGTGGTTTGCATTGAAGGATCTAGGTGACTTGCATTTTTTCTTGGCATTCAAGTCACTCGTTCTTCGGGTTGCATGTTTCTTTTTCAGCGTCAATACTTAGTAGATTTATTGCAATAGGCCGAGTTAACTGAGGCTAAAGCAATGAAGATTCCCCTTGCAGCAGGTTGTTCCTTATTCAAGAATGATGAAGAGCTGCTACCTGATCCTTCTACATACCGAAGCATCGTCAGTTCCCTTTAATACTTAAAACCCTGACTCGACCTGACATTGCCTTCGCTGTTAACAAGACATGTCAATTTCTCTCTTCCCCTACCACGACACATTGGACAACTGTAAAAAGGATCTTACGGTATCTGAAAGGGACTATATCTCGCTCTTTTCTTGGGTCCCAATTTAATATCCTGGAGTGCCGAGAAATAGCACACAATAGCACGCTCCAGTACAGAAGCAGAGCTTCGTGCCATTGCCTTGGCTGTCACTGAAGTAATCTGGGTTCAGCATTTACTCAAGGAGCTGAAGGTCTTCTCTCCCTCAGCTTCCATCATGTGGTGTGATAATGTGGGTGCTCTATATTTGGCTGCTAATCTTGTGTTCAAAGCTAGAAACAAACATGTGGAAATAGACTTCCACTTTGTTCGTGATCTGGTTCAGTGTCACTTGCTGATTGTTCGTTTATCTGTGGATTAGGAGATTACTAATCTTATCTCCTTATAGTTGTTATTTGTTTGTAGTCATCCTTATCACAGTTGTATATTTATCTCTCTTGTAACTTGTAATAGAGGTGGCAATGAGCAGAGTTTTTCATGAGTTGTTCGAGCTCGGTTCGGTCCGGTTTCAGTTGAGTTTGAGCCCAATTTAGTGGTTCGATTATTAAACGAGCCAAGCTCGAGCCTAATAAAGTTCGGCTCATAAGACTCGCAAGCCGGTTCGAATATATATAATAAAATTATAGAAAATATATATATAATTATTAATTATTATGATACTTAAATTTTTAAATATAAAATAAAAAAAATTATATATAATTTTTATTTTTATAAAATATTTATAAAATATTTTTATAAAATATAAAACGAATCCAGCCGAGCCGAACTTGAACTTATAAACTCTTGACTCGCTCGAACCAAGCTCGAACTCGAGCTCAAACCTTGTAAAATAGTATCGAGCGAACCCTTTATTTTTCGGCCTCTGTTTTTAGTTTCTTTCACTCCACGTAATTCATTCTTTTCGATTGATTTCTCTTTGTTAGTTCCATTTTGTTTTCTGATAAACATCCATTTTCGACAAACCCTTTATTTTTTCATCCCTGCACCTCAACAACGTTAATTTCCACGAAGAAAACAAAAGACAAAGTCATCTTTGGAACTTTCTCCATTTTCGATATTACATCAGTGCCGTGCCCACAGTCGGTCCATACCATATGCACATCTCAACGTGCATTCAGAGGGAGCTGTAATTTAAGCGAAGTTCAAGGAGGATCTATCTACGTTCTATCTCACTAGGTTGCAGATTTAGAATCTTTTCGTTTCTCCCATACGTTTTCTGTGTTTTCGTATTGATCAGTTCTTTAAAAATTTGGTACGAGTGGCTGAATTACCCAAATACCCCTTGCTTTCCTGGGATGGATCTTCTCGATCCTCGAGTGAGTGCAGATCTGCTCCCAACAATGTCCTAACAAGCCATTACAGTCGCACGGAGATGTGTGCGGCTGCATTGGTTTGTTGGGACAGCATTGGGATCTCGCGTTGTATGGGACTGAAATATGGAGGTTGGGAGCAGGGAGAAGTTAATTTGCAATTGCAAGAGCTGCATTGGAATTCCTCCTCGTTTACCCGAATCTCTTAACCAATGGTGGCCGTTTGATTTCTTGATGATGAATCAATGAGACCATGAACTAACCAAAACCAATTAACTAAATGCGTGGTGAATCCATGAACTAACTAATCCAGCAGGACCAGCACGTCCGTCACCCAGACATCCAGACAATAAAATTTAATTTCTGATCCACTGCTCGCTTGGGTGTGTGCAATGAACTACAATTAACCAATCCGAAGTGAACACGCCATTGTATCGTACACTTGGGGTGTAAGTCATATATGTACGAAACTCTGACGTGGTAAATCGTGATTGGAGGCCAATCAAGGTGTGCAAGCCCTTGTGTTTTTTACACGTAACGTCAAATTGACGTGTCGTATCATGATTGGTCCAGTAGAGGGAGGATTGATTATACAGTGGGAGTTCCTCACCCCAACCTAATAAAGCATTGGGTCCCAACTCTCAATCCCCCGTAGAGGAGAGGAGGTCCAGGTTTTTGACAGTTGACAGTGACTGATTCTTAAAATGGAAACGACATTACACGTTCTCAGTGTTCACAAGGCTTTCACGAAAGTGGAAAACGTTCCCATTTGCAGTAGCTGAGGGCTTCTTTGGTCCCGCCTCCTAGATGTAGAATTACCCCACTCCCTCCCTCCTCTCTCTTCCTTTTTCTTTCTCCCTCTCCTCTCTCTACTCCCTCGGGCTTCATTGTCATCTTCTGTTTCAACTTTCCTTGTCATCCACAGCGGTGGTTTGTTGGCGGAGGTGAAAAGGAAAAGATGGGCCGAGGGAAGATCGAGATTAAGAGAATAGAGAACTCCACCAACCGGCAAGTCACCTATTCCAAGCGGAGAGGAGGAATTTTTAAGAAAGCTGCCGAACTCACCGTTCTCTGCGATGCCGAGGTTTCTCTCATCATGTTCTCTAGTACCGGAAAATTATCTGAATATGTCAGTCATACCGCAACGTATGTATGTCTTATCGTTTGCATTTGGTTTTAATTTCTTGTTTTCTACGTTTGTTTTTTTCCTACTTCGATCCCGATCCACGCATTTCTATTCCGTTTCGAAGCCCTATCTCTCTCGATTCCACTTTCTATATGCTATTCTTTTGGTTTCTGGTGTGTGTGTGTCTGTGTGCTTCAGAACGAAGAAAATATTCGACCGATATCAACAAGTTTCGGGAATAAACCTGTGGAACTCACACTACGAGGTCAACCTGATTCTCCTCTACTTTTTTTTTTTTTTTGTCAATGCGTTTTCATTGAAAATACAAGTGTTTTACTGCTTCCGTTTGTTGGTTCTTCAATGCCTGCAGAGAATGCAAGAACATTTGAGCAAGCAGAAGGAAGTTAATAATAATCTGCGCAGAGAGATTAGGTAAAAGTAGTGTTACCTTCTTACTTGGTTCTGTGGATATGGATCGGAAATAAGTGCGGACTGGCGACGATATTTCCTATTATGTTGCTTTCTTCATCTGTTTTTTAGTGTGAATTCTTGAATCGATGAAGTTTAATAGGGCATGGTTAATAGGCAAAGGATGGGTGAAGATCTGGACGATCTGAGTGTGGACGAGCTGCGTGGTCTTGAGCAAAATATGGAGAACTCGTTGAAGGTTGTTCGTGAGCGCAAGGTGAAAAAATATTAAAAATAGAAACTTTTGAAAGCTTTCTCTTCTTTTTCTTCCTTTTTAAATTTATTGAGAAAATAAAGGACTTCTGTAACTTCATCATGTCTATTCTTTTTGCTTATTTGGAAATACAGTGAATTTGTTACTCCTCACATGGTGTCACTCCTCGATTTTTCCCTTTTCACCTTTCCCACGACAAAATGTTTTTAGGGATGCAAATGGATTGGATTGAAATGGATGTACCTGGATCCAATTTTAATTTGTTAATATTTGGATTCGACATTGAATCTTTTGGCTCTGATTTTGATCGTACTCTGATTGAACTGAGATACTTATATATTTATTTTTTTGACATACTGAAAAGTATCAATAAGTTAAACTAAAAATCATTATATTATTAATATCTTCACCATAGGCAGAAACTTCGCTTCAGGCTTCAACGTGCACCGAAAAATATGTTAATAAACCTAGTTACTTTTATGAATTTTCATTGCAGTATAAAGTAAAAACTTGCCTGGACGGCAAGGCTTCTCGCCACCTGAAAATAAAAGGGAAAATTACTCAAAACTTCCACTATACAGTTTCAAATTGAAGTTTTCTTACTTTTCAGAATGGGTTTAGGGACCGATTGATAACACTTGAGGTGGCTGAACTGAATTGAATGACTTATTGCTTTGTTTCTTAATTGAAAATGTCATTAAAACACTTGAATTGAAGTGGCTGAAGCTGGTGTTGAGTTGATTGCTATGCCTCAAAAATTTTGTTATTTAATCATTTTATCCACTAAGACACAAAGGAATAAAACTATTCAGTTTAACTACATCAGCTGTTATCAATTGGTCCGTGGTCCGTCAGACATCTCCTATCACATATTGATTACATAGGCTAATAGGATGCCATCCTATTTACTTTTGGAAATTTTCTTAAATTCCAAGATGCCCTTATCTTGCATTAGTCCAAAAAATAATAACTATTTTTGGATTATATTACAAAAAGGGCACATATGACAAAAAAAAAGGAAAGAATTAGAGATTAATTTCTAGGAAGAAAGGTCTTTTTTAAGAAACTTATATTTGGATTTCTGACGTTGTTCCCTTTTCTTTGTGAGGTAGGGATTTGGTCTTATTTGTGTTTGGATGCCCTGGTCAAATACTCAAATACTAATGTGATAATTGGAATTATTAGAATTTATTACATAAGTGTATGTCCGTAAGTTAAATTGCATAGAAGCATCTGAGAAGGGTTTTCTTGTCATTACATATATTTGTTTATATTTCAAAAGAAAATTCTTTGACAGGGGATGCGAAAGTCTATTTCTCTAAAGGAAGTTTTAGCCGTTTCCAAAGTGTATAGGGCGTGTTTGGATAAATTTTTCTTATAATTAGGGATGGCAATTTCTACTCTACCGAGTGGGTATTTGCCCCAACCCTCTCCGACGGGATAGGTTTTTTTTGTTTGAAGGACGGGTTTTGGGACAAGAATGGATTTTAGGGTTTTACAACCCATATGGGTACGGATAGGGTAAGGTATTAAGCTAAACCGATCCTTATATTGTTGGAAAGTATATAAACTTTATGTATCAAGTGTTGAATTTAATAATACTTTGAATTTTGCATGGAAGAAAATTGATAGTTTATGTGTTTTCTACATGTCTTAATAAAATAATTAGAAATTTTATTTTTTATTTGTTTCATTTTACTTATTTATTGCTTATATATGACAAGAAATAATAGGAAATTCAATGTGTTCTAAATCCAATCCGCCCCTACCCTTGAATGAGGGGAGGGTAGGGTTAGGGAGGGTTTTGCATTTTCATGTGCGGGTAGGGTTTGGATTCTCAAAATCCAACCTGCTACAGGTTTTGGGGGGGTATGGGTTGGGAGGTTTAGGGAGGCGGGTAGGGTCTACAATTTACAAAACCCTCCCCAAACCCACCCATTGCCATCCCTACTTATAAGATGAACTGGTGAAGACTTTTATATTGCATATCATAATTAAAATGGCTTAAATGTAACTCTCATAAGACCTGAACCTATGATTCATTACTAAATATACAACATTCAAACCAAGTTGTACTAATAGATACCTATTAATTTCATGTAGATAAAAGCATACAAAAATATTATTCGATTAGAGTGGTGGATATGCATAATTATCCATTTAATTATAAACTGATTGAATTTGGATCACCTTTTTTTTTATTCTTTTTGAAGGGCTACACAATGCAGGGTAGCTCATGCCCCAACTCATAACCCTCCCAACCAGCAGAAGACCTTACCAACCAGCTGGTTGGCACCTTGCTATTCAGCAGCTTATTGTGCCTTTTTTGGGTCTTGTTTCTCGGACAATTTATTGTTATTTTGATCTTGTAAAATTTGGGTCTTCCTTGGAATCCTGTATTTACATAATTTCTTATTGGAATAAAATACCATTTTTATGATATTGCTTCTATTTATCCATCTTTATGTTCTTTGTGATGCTTTTGCATGCTTCTTCTTAGCATTTGACGTTCACAAGGAAGAACCTCTGATCTTCCTAAGAAAATATCATTTGTATGATATGGCTTGATGAATTTCATTGACCTTCTAGATATATTAATAAAAAGGCAATATGAAGACTTTCTAATTTATAATCACATTTTCTTTTGTTTATCTGAGGTTTTAGAAATCACTATCATTTTAGATCATGCAACCTAACATGATCGATTTCTAATCATTGTTAACAGTATCACGTGATCTCAACTCAGACTGACACTTGCAAGAAAAAGGTAAGCTGATGTTATATTTCGTATAGCCCAGTTTCCATTTTCAATTTTATTTCCCGTCTGTGTAACTCATGAATCCACTTTTATTCCACCTCATTCGATTTGGTTGCAGATAAGGAATTTACAGGATACAAATGCATCTCTCCTGCGTCAACTTGTAAGAACCGTCGTGCTATTTCTTTATTGCCCTCCTGTTTATGTTTGGAAGCAAAGACTGAACTTTAAAACTGGGAATTTGTTTTCATGAAGGAAGAGAGGGATGAGATTCCACATTTTGGTTTTGTTGACAATGGAGGGGACTATGAATCTGCACTTGGATTGGCGAATAATGGCTCCCACTTGTTTGCTTTCCGTCTGCAACCAAACCAGCCCAATCTTCAGGATGGAGGAATATATGGGTCGTACGACCTACGTCTTGCTTGAGTTGCATTTGAGGTTATGTAGCCTTATAACCAGACATTTTATACTTAGTACGTGTTATCTAGAGTTGAATCTACTTGAACTAGTATTATCTAAACTTGGAAAATGTACTAAAATTTCTTATTTATGGTATTTTCACTTGCAGTATCATCAATCTCTTGCATGATCTCCCAGAATTATTTCTTGTTTTGCTGTTTATATTTCATTTATAACACCATTGAAACCATACTTAATTTCTTTCTGTAGCATAGGAAGTGGTCCCTAGATTGGTTTATACTATGCTTTTCGTTGTGCATTAATTAGAAGGGGTTGTGCTATTTCAGTTCGGATCTGGCAGACAAACCTGTTGAGCATGAGAACTAGAAAGGGGTGGGAAGGACAGAAAGGTCTTACAACTTCTTTTGACTTTGTTAATTTATACATGAGATGTAATGACATTATGGTCCTAGGTATCATAACCTCTTTTTCTCTCAAATCTCTTCCATATTAACAAATCCGAACGCCATAAATTTATGCAACACTTGGATACCACATCCCATAGAGTACAAGGTAGGACCCATTTGTAATTTTCTCTTCAGTCTATCATTTCTTTTGTTCCTTCATGTCCATAAGGTAAGGTATCTAAGTGTTGCATAAACTCGTAATTTAATTAGTTGCATTCTTCACTAATCTATCAATATTTATTATGAGTGCCAACATTCCCTTAGTATATAGGTCTAATCAATATATTTTGCCCTGAAAGGTTAATAACAAGAAATTTAAATATTATTTTGCTCTGCCTAAATGCTGCTCGAATCGGCTGCGCAGGCTAATTGGTTTGGATAATCAAATAGATAAATCATACTTTTCGTTGTTTCAAAGACTTGAATTTTGTCTCTTATGAAAATGAGTGATATATAAATATAGGATAAGTCCTTTCTAAAATAGATTGCTAAATACTTTTCTTGCACTTTCCACACCCTAACTAAAACTTTTTTGTCAATGAAAATATTTCTTTTTTAAATTTCCAATTCTCTTCCTTGACTTTTAACCTATCTTTTGTATAGAAATCTCTTTCTGGAGATTCCCCTTCTATCAAAGTTTCACTTGTTTCCTATTATCATTTCATAGCTCAATTGAATTCAAAACATGATAATTAACAATTATTATTGATAAACATATTTTGGATGGAGAAATATCCACCAAGGTAGGGGCATTACTTATGTAATGGTAAAAGCTCAGGGTGGCAAGTAAGAGAATTCAAGTTAAAGGGGCCCATTACTTGGCCCCATCTCGAACACCTTACCTTCGTTGATTGCTTGAAGTCGTCTGAACTTTGGAGTATGTATCTGTAATATTTTTTTTGAGAGTATGTATCTGTAATATTATCGTATTTAATTGATCTATTCGGAGATGTAACCTTTGATACATTATAGTTGAAAATGAAATTAGACCTTGCTGTTTAGATCCTTCTAAGGTGTTATGATCTCATATAAGCTCTTTCAAAGGAGATAAAAAGCACTCACAATTGGATTGAATCTATAACTTGGAAGCCTAATGAATTGAGTGATATACATTCAAGCGTATATTAATGTAATGATCTGATGTTAGTTTAACAAGTATGGTTTTCGAGACAGTAATGAAACAATGAGTTTTCCATCAGAGCAAATGCTAGATAAAAGGACTTGGATCCTTCTTTAAAGGACAACTATTGATAGCTACGATTGAAATTGATGAAACCCAAATCAAAGGTGATTTGGTACTATTAATTTCTTTTAAGTTATTTTTTGTTCTATTCTTATCATTATGTCATAGGGATATGTTTAACTAGGCATCGATATTTTCTTCTCCTTTAAGTTGTTATTAATTTCATTGCTTTCATGGCGGTATGTTTACTTGTTTTAGAGGGTTGAATAATTAATTCTAAGTTTCATATTGGAATGTTTTTAGTATCTAGAGAGATTAAAAGTGTAATTGACAACATTTATATTTTCCTGCAACGCAAGTTTATATGATCGAAACTTGTTGTTTTGCCTGCTTTTGGTGTTAGAGATGTAAAATGGGTCATGCTGGCTGTGGGCCGGCACAACCCATATCTATATAATTATATAAAATAATATATTATTATATAAACATATATATATATATATATATATATATATATATATATATATAAATTTCTTATTATTCTATTTCACTCCAATTTTATTGTATATTTTTTTTCAATTTCTTGTCTATCTTGTTAATCCCAAGTTGCTCAATTTAGGGGAATTTTAGGGCATTTCAATAAAGGGTTTGGAAGAAGAAATCAAGGCCTTGTTGGTCGCCTTGGAAAATAGACATCTAATTGAAAAGGAAAAAAAGAAAAAGGAGTGGTATTCTGAAGGTTGAGATTAGTCATGGGATCACTCATTTCCATTTCTCAAGGTGCTTTATTCACAACACATATCCAAGATGGTATTCTGACAGCTAATGAATTAATTGATTCAAGAAAAAAGGAGTGGCAAGAAGGGCCTAGTGCGCAAAATTGATCAAGAGAAAGCCTATGATAATGTGAATTGGGCTCTCTTGGATTACATGTTGAAGAAGATGCACTTTCGGAAAACATGGAGGAATTGAATGAAGGATTGTGTCACCATGCCTAAATTCTCAATCTTGTTAAATGGTCTTGCAAAAGGTAATTTTAAAAGCTCTAGGGGTCTCAACCAAGGAGACCTTCTTCCCTCTTTTCCCACTCTAGTAGTTTTTCATAGTTAGGGAGGGCTTGAGTAAGATCATCGCCATAGATGTTTAGTAGTGAAGAAATCCCTTTACTCCCCAATTTGTAGATGATATGGTTTTTTTTTTGGTGGTGCCAAAGTAGTGCAAGTGACCTACTTGAGGTATATTTTATGCTGGTTTATAATAGTCTCAGGTTTGAAGGTTAACCTGGCGAAAACTGAAATGATGGCTGTTGGGGATGGTCCTTAGTGGTGGAGAAAATGATTAGCAAATTGGCTTCTTGCAAGGTTAGGTACCTGTCTTAAGGAGCTAAGTTAACTTTAATAAGGAGTATGTTGGCTAGAATATAAGGTTGGGAATGGTACCAGGCTGGGAATGCCTCCAATGAGTTTTGGAGGAAAGCTATTGTTTAGAGATATGGCCAGTTAATGGCTGAGATGCGACTAGTCAAATGTCACTCATGGTTGTGGAGTTTGGAAAGGGATTTGTAAAGCTTACCCTCAGTTTTTGAAAGCAATCAAATATAAGGTTGGGAATGGTACCAGGCTGAAAATCTAGAATGACATTTGGTGTTCTGATATCCCATTGAAAGAGATGTTTCTAGAGTTATTTCTTCTGACCTATGATAAAGAAGCTACTATAGCTAATTGTTGGAAGCATAAGTTTAAACCCCTGGTTCCAAATCAGCATAGTTGGTGTTAGTCCAAGTCTGAAACCTTTTCAGTTAATTCTAGAGTTATTTCTTCTGACCTAAGATAAAGAAGCTACTTAAGCTAATTGTTGGAAGCATAAGTTTTCCCCAAGTCAAGTCGTATGGGGTGGAAAGTGAAGTTTCTTTTTCTTTTTTTTTTTTTTGTTTGGGTAGCTGCTGGAGAGAAGTGCTTGACGAAGATATGTTGGTTAGAAAAGGAATGGTGTTGCGAAATGTCTCTGGTGTCTAATGTGCCAAGGAGGAAGAGACCTCTAACCACCTGTTTATCCACTGTGATTTCTCCTCGTGAATTTGGTGACATTTTTTCAAGGCTATTCAGTACTCCCTATGCATGCTTAATTCTGTAATGGCCATTCTTGAAAGTTGGGAAGGTGGGGTACGAGCAAGAAGGGGAGGATTCTATGGAATGCTACTTCTTTGGGAATCCTATGGTCCATTTGGTTGGAAAAACATTTTTTATCAAAAGCTGTAGGACACGTGGACCAAGACGCAAAGCCAAATGGGCCAAATTGCTAAGGCAGTTAATATATATATATATATATATATATATGGGCTATATTGGTGTCATCTCCTCTCATTGGATAAAACTATTTCATGTGGCAGCGTGCAATGAGGAGTGGCTTGTGCGCCAAGAACAAATTTGGTTTTGTAGATGGCACGCTTGACAAGACAGATCGATTCAAATATGAGGAGAAAGCATGGAAAAAGTGCAATTCCATGGTTATTTCCTGGTTGTTCAATTATCATGATTTTCACTAAAGTGTGGCGTATGCTGATACAACAAGAGAAATTTGAAAAGATCTCGAGATTCTCTCAAGGTAATGCCCTATGAGTTTACACTTTTTATAATTTGTAGAGGCTGAGGGAGAGGACAGAAAAATTTTCATAATTTTCAAAATTTTCATCCTCAACAAAATTTCAATCAGTCTCAGTTCTTCAATGGTGGTCGCGGTAAGGCACACCCTGTCATTTTTCAGATCTGCAATAAACTAAGACATGGTGTGTTAACTTGCAGAAAAGCAAAGTATATTTTTGCAAACAACAATGAGTCTAATTATGAACCAACGGCCTACAACAATAGTCTCACTACTCCATGTCTCAACAACAATAATCCTCTGTTTGATCCTATGTGGTATCCAGATTCTGGAGTGACCCATCATATGACATATGATGTCGACAATATTCGAAATTGGTTAGAATACATGAGTTCGGATAAGGTCAAAGTAGGTAATGGCCAAGGTTTGCAAATTAAACATACTAGTTCTTCCTCTCTACTCTTTAATCAACATGCCTTTACACTAAATGATATATGCCATGTTCCTGAAATTTGCAAAAAATTATTGTCAGTAAGCAAGTTTACAAAAGATAATGATATATTTTTTGAGTTTCACCAAGACTTGCTTTATGAAGAATTATACGGGGAACATCCTATTTCGAGGAGTCAGTAGAGGAGGGTTGTATTGCTTCCCATCAAAAGTTGCCATTTCACAAGGTTCGATAACTGCACCATCTTCTCTTATGGGTGAGTGGACATCTCTTCAGGGTTGGCACCAACGTCTTGGTCATGTAGCATTTTGTATTGTTCAGCAAGTCATTTCTCAGTATGGTTTACCTTATTCTGGTTAAAGTTCCAGTTCATTAGTTTATGAGTCCAAATGGGTAAAAGTTGTAGATTTTCTTTTCCTTCTTCTTCACATAGGTCTCAGTTAAGTTTAATAAAGGGTTCTCTTATTATGTGTTAT